TAGCAAGGTTAATATTAATACTTACTTAATATTATAAAATATTTTTATTAATAATATATAGCTTAGTTTTAATAACTTAAAAAATAAATAATATTATATAAGGCTTGGGGTCCTCCTGCTTTAGGTTTTTAAAAAATTTTTTAAAAAAAGTTAATAATAATAAAAAAAATATATTTAAAAGCCTTTATTATTTTAACTTTTAATATTTTTAAATTTAGTAACTAGTCTTATTTTTTAAATAAGGTAGCTTAAGATAATTAAGGTAAAGATATTTATTATTATTATAATTATAATAAAGGTAGTTATAAGTATATTATTTTTTTAACCTATATTATTAGGGTTTAGGTTAGTGTTAGGTATAAAAATAAATTAAAGGTTTTATACTTTTTTTTTAATTACCCTAACTAGCAGGTTAATAACCTTAACTATAATTTTTTAATATAAAATCTTTGGCTAGGGCCCTAACTAAAGTAGTTTTAGTAATACTTAAGTTTATAATATTTAGGTTATAGTAGCTAAATCCCCTACTAAAATTAAAATTATATAAAAAAAATAATTACTAAAGCTTTTTTAAGTAAATTTTTTTATATAAAGGCTTTGCTTATATAAAATAAAGTATTTAATTATTACTTTAAAAATAATAAAATAATTATAATTATAAACTTATTTAGCTTAAAGTTTAGGTTTAGCCCTATTAATAAAGTTTATAATTTAAACCTTTATAAATATAAGGTATTTAAGCAGGCTAATAATAACCTAAAAATAGCTATTATAACTTTATATTTTAATACTATTTTAGGCTATATTTTAATAATAAAAATAGTGTTTTTAGGCACTAAAATACTTCTTAAAATTTTAATAAACCTAATTTTTAAGTTACTTAAGGGTAAAAATTTATTTAAGTATAATTTCTTAATTTTTTTAAAACTAGCAAGTATTTTAGTGCTTTTTAGCCTAGCTAGTAAAAAAGTTAGTAATAACTAAAACTTTTTTATATTTACTAAAGTTTTAGCTATAAAAAATATACTTATTATAAAAGTAATAATTTATATTTTAAATTTATATTTTAGTTATATTTAAGTTAATACAGCCTTTATACTTAGTAATACTTTTAAAATTAAAAATTTTTTAAGTAATTAATTTTTTATTAAATAGCTAGCCTTGGGTGTTTTCCTAGCACTTATAAAATAAGTTATTTAAAATAATAAATTAAATAAATAGCCCTTAGGTTTTTTTATTTTAACTAGTTTATTTTTAAAAAAACTTAATTTTTATATATTATAAGTTATACTATATAATAACCATAGGGTTAGTAGGGTTAATTAAGTTTATAAAGTATTTTATAATAATTAATTAATTAAAGTTAAATAAAATACTAAAAAAAGTCTTAATAAATTAAAAATTAAATAAGAAACTTAGTTAAAATAGTTAATATTTTTTTTTTATTTTTTTTTAGTAATTTTTATAATATAAGTATTACTCTTACTTAACACCCTTAACTATTACCCTTATTTTAAAAAGCTAGTAGTAATAGTAGCTATTATAAATTTTTTTTTATATAATTAGGGTTAAGTTACTAATTAAAAAACTTTTAAACTTTTTTATTTATATAATTAAAAATATAATTTTTTAATTAAATATATAAGCAAGGTAATAACCCTTATTATTATTAATTATAAAAAAAATCCTAGTTACCTTGCTGCCTAAGCATAAAGTTTTTTAAAATAATAATTAAATAAATATTTTTTGCTAGTATTAATAAAAGGGGTTTTTAAGTTAAATAATTATTAATTATTTTTACTAATATTTTTAGTATAGCTCTTAGGCCCCTTAAAAATTTTTTAAATTTTAATTTTTTTTTTATTAAAAAGGTATAGGTAGTATTAAGTAATTTATATTATTAATAAGCCTTACTATAAACATGTTATTAAGTAACCTTAATAATTAATTATAATAATTACCTTATTACTATATTTAATTAAATCCTATAGTATTAAAAAGCTTATTAATTAAATAATTAAAAATATACTATTAAATATAATAATACTAGCGCTAAAAATTACCTAGTTAATAAAGCTAGGTAATTAAAAAAAATATATATAAAAAAATTAAATATAAAATTATTTAAAGGTTTTTTATTAAGGCCTCCAAGCGCTTTATATAACTTTTATTTAGGGTAATAAGGCCTAAGTATTATTTCTTAAGGCCACTAATATTCCTAGGCCTTGGTATTACCACGGCCAATAAAGTGGCCTAAGGCATTAACACCAGTAATAAAACCATAATATATATTTAATATAAATTTAGGCAGGTTTAAAATTTAAATAAATTTATATTATATATATTTAGGTTTTTAAAAAGTAGTATTATAAAAATATTAAAGAAATATTATAAAAATATTATAAAAATATTATAAAAATATTATAAAAATATTA